GATCCCACATGCCGCGGAGCGGCTGGGCCCGTGAGCCATGGCCACTGAGCCTGCGCGTCCGGAGCCTGTGCTCCGCAAATGGGAGAGGCCACGACAGTGAGAGGCCCGCATAACGCAAGGAAAAAAAAAAAAAAAAAAAAAAAAAAAAAGAATACACATTTAGACACTTTTATGGAAACGTAACACTGTTGTGTCATCCCAGCCCATGAGCGTTTTTCCACTAATTAATTGTACCGTATTTTACAATGGATGGGGGTGGGGAGCACTTGCTCTCCCCCCCAGATAGTCTGCAAAGCACTGCTGCAGAGTGTAGAGAAAAAAATCCTTTCACCATCCTCTGTCTTCAAAGTAATTAGGTGTGGACCACCCACGTGCAGCCTTCTCATGATCTGGCATCTGGGCATTTGTGGATCGAGTCGGGGTACACTCTGGCTAGGGCACGGGAATGCAGCCCCAGCTGCTTTAAGTCATTCTCATCCACAGGTAGCACTGACTAAGGATCTGGTCAGGATGTGTGATGCGTACACGACCACCTCGCTTCAGCTTAGAAGGGCCAGTGGTGAAGTCTACGCTCTGTTCCAAAGAATCCCTTCTGGATTTAGGCAGCGTCTCCTCCCTACTGGGCTGCCCCTCGCCCCACGCGTCATTTATCACACTGCGTGTTAATGATCTCCTCCGGGGTCTGTCTCTCGGCCACCACGAACCCCTCCAAGCACAGAGATCTTGCCTCCTTCGTTTCCCTAACCCCAGCACAGCACAGGGAGCGAGCCGATGCTCATTTCACGTTTGTTGAATTAGTTGACTGATTCATGGCTTTTCCCTTAGGTCCTCTTCTGCCAGGACGTTGTGAATGTGAAAACTGTTGGCTAATTTTAGGGCTGCAAGCAAATGACCTCGGTTGAGCCTGCTAATGTTCACTGCTAAAAGATTTAAGGGAAGTGTTGCATACAACTTATGCAAGACCCAGTTGTGGGTAAAAGAGAATCTTCTTTCACAACAGACTCTTATGAACCAAAGACCTCCTATCACACTCCCAAAAGGAAGCCTGCCAGGCAGTCTCCCAACACCTGGGCTGCTCTCTGCATGGCACTGAAGGGATCAAGGGCTGAACTTGCTTTTCCCCACTGCCTGCACTCCAGATTTGCATGCACTCAGCTGATCAGAGTGCATAAGTCATTTTTCTACCATCTGTGGAGATCTAAGGAAGGTGATTGAAAGTACAACTTGCACAAATTACTACTGAATAGCCCTTTAATAGCTGTCTCTAGTTTTACTTCCTAATTTGCCAATGCCCCCTCCTCCTCCAATCCGAACAGATTTGCCAGGACTTTCTGGCTCATTATGAAGTAAGATCCTCTTTGTCTGGGCTCCAGTTTGCACCTGGAGTCCAGGGAACACTGCTCTCCTCTAAGCCACTTTAACTTGACTTGGCAAAGTCTCTACGTTCAGACCACAGAACTTCCTTTTCCCTGAAACAGATTCCTTTTCCTGGCAAGCGGTATAGTACAGAGATCTAAAGAAGACCCTTGGTCTTCCTTTGCTTATTCCTTTCTTATACTTTTTGAGCCAGATTTCACTATAATCTTTTAGATCTTTACAAATCTGAACTTTCAGAGTCTTCTCAGTGGTCTGCAGCGAACTCCTCTGCCAGTCCTCAAATCACCTCAATATGAATTTATGTCATTAACATTCCTGTACCTAAAACTCAATTCTATTTCCATCATTCTGCCCCCCAAGTCAGACCAGGGTTATTCCCAAACCAGATGTGACTTCCACTACACATATACACGGAATACTTATTACGCTTTGACTTAAAATTCAAGCTCAAATAGGGGAACTTCTAAAGTCAGAAACGATCGCGCACGCCGCAAGAAGCATCAGCTAAGGATCTCCTTCACCCAATGTCTCGTAAATGTGAGAATATCTTAGAATAGTAAGGTGTGATGCATTTTCAGGTACTACTTACAAGTCTGAATAAAGTTTTAAGAGAAATTGCTGAATTTAAGGAGGTTTTCTTTTCTAATAGTGGAAATCTGTCAATAACTTAAAATTATAATAATTAACATGTAAAAACTTCTAAAATATCGAGAGGTATGTACAGCAGGTTTTATCGTCTTCATATTGTGTATGAGAAAACTCGTAGAAACATAAAGGCTTTTCAAGTTCACATAGTAAACTCAAGATGAAGCTTTTAGTGAAACCAAGTTTTCTGACATCCAAATTAGTATTTTCTCCACATACAGAATACGGACAAGCATCAAAATGAATACCTGTACAGTTGAAAGACACATCTGTATAAAATCTCAGTAGCCAATAACAACAAAACAAACCCATCAGGGACTTCAATTACAGGGAAGACTTCACAAACCCAAGTGTGGAGGCCATTTTCAAACTCACCTTTTAAAGATCTCAAGTGTTCAACAGCCATTCTTAAAACTGTCAGTTTGTCCAGTTTCCGTGCCATGGGATTGCACTGAGGGATCATTGCGGACAGTTTTTCAATAAGGTTGTTCATTTTATCTCTCCTGCGCTTTTCGGTTTGGCTGTGAGCTTCTCTAAGAAGGAGAAAGAGCTTCCGTTATATTTAACACTTAACAGACCCCCAGTGACCCCAGAGGCAGCAGTGGGAGCACGGGTGAGGCCAGCAAGCCCCCACTGTTCTTCCTCCCGACTTTGGCCCTGCAGGTGGCATTCAGGGAAGAGGCAGGAGTGGCACTCATTCACACTGCTTTTACCTCCACCCCCCCATACCCTTGCTCCTTCCTTCCTGACCTTATTCTCTGAAACCTTCAAGAACTAAGACCTCTGTGTGAGAGCTGCAGCAGGTGGCTTTTTAGCTTCCCTCCGGTCTAGAGGAAGAATGGGTCGCCTTCTATTCAAAGCTAACTCCTTTCTGGTCTTTGCTTGCACAGTTATCAGCATTTTAAGCTCATTCTCTTTCACAGCTCCTTCTATGCGTCGATAAATGGGCTCAAGTCTCTTCCCTTTGAGGAAGAAACCCCTTTCCAGAATTCTAGGGATTTTTTTCCCTTGCTAATGTCTTCCCTCCTTGGCCAGCTTCCTGAGAGTACGGTCTCCACTTAACCTTTCATCTCCCAGGTGCCTCTCCTATTAAAATCAACCCCCCAGGACTTCCCTGGTGGTGCAGTGGTTAAGAGTCTGCCTGCCAATGCAGGGGACACGGGTTCGATCCTTGGTCCAGGAAGATCCCACATGCCATGGAACAACTAAGCCCGTGAGCCACAACTACTGAACCTGTGTGCCGCAACTACTGAAGCCCATGCACCTACAGCCCGTGCTCCGCAACAGGAGAAGCCACTGCAACGGGAAGCCCACTCACTGCAACGAAGAGTAGCCCCCGCTCACCGCAACTAGAGAAAGCCCACGGGCAGCAACGAAGACCCAGTGCAGCCAAAAAAAAAAAATTGAAATCAAATCAAATCAAATCATCCTCCCAGCCCCCATTCCACTAAAACTACTCTAGCAGAGGTCATCCTCATCTTATGCAACCCCAGGTGATCCCTGCCTTGAATTTGACACTGTTGCCATTTCCCATTCTTCTCTGGCTTCTGTGACCTCTCCGCTCCTCCAGCCTCTCCGCTCAGCTCCGCCCCCTTAGCCTCCCCACTCAGCTCTTCCTCTGTCCTTCAATACTGGCCCCCCAGACACCCCTCACTTGACACCACTCTCTCCTCACCTATACCTTCACCCTAAGAGATCGCACACCTTCATAAGGCTTTACAACTACTCATAAGCTACTTACCATTCAATCCCTATCTCATTCATTCGTTATCCAATTCAGAACTAAAATTATGCGCCTCAGGGATTCATAAGCCCCCTAAAACTCAAGAAATCCCAAACTGAATGCATTCTCTGCAGCTGACCCCATTTTAATCCTTCCTCTGCCAGCCCTGATTACTCTTCCTTCTATAGGGTTTATCTTGATTGGTGACGCCACTAGACTAGCTCTAGACCCTCCCTCCCTTCTTCACCCTGAAGAGCCAAATAACCACAAACTCCTATAAATTCTAGTTCTTAAAATAGTTCTTAAATATTTGAGATGGCTTGAGCCACATGGTCAAACCGAAGTTGCAGAGTCACTTTCCCTGGAGTACACGTCCTGAGGAGCCTGAACATGGGAGGGCACTGGGGGCACCAGGACGCGCAGTTAACTTTGAATTTCAGATAAACAGTGAATAATTTTTTAGTATATCCTTGTGCAATATTTGGGACATACTTGTACTAAAAAGTCTTCATTACGTATCTGAAATTCACAGTTGGCCAGGTGTCCTGTATTTTATCTGGCAGCCTAGTCTGGGGGGGCCTCATTCACACTCCCCAGCAGCGAGTTCAGCAGATGAGGGGCAGTCTTGGCCTCCGGATGACACCACAACGATGTGATGTCACTTAATCCCCTCTCATCTCCGTGCCCCTTTTCTAACTCAGAGGTTACGTGACTTGTCTATGAGCACGAGGCTGAAACCTGAACCACACATGGCCCCGGTCTCTCGAGCCTCCTGCTATTATCACTGTGCTCAGCAAAGTGGTCGCCACAGCCCAAGAGAGAACTGGTTCTTCCCAGGGTAAAATGGTCACTCAGCTGCACTGACATAAGAGAAATACTGGCAACATGTGAAATGTTGAGCAAGTAATGCAACCTAAGCACTCTCTCAAGATTTGTGAAGAATCTTGTGGTTATAGATGATCTTATTTGCAAAGCAGAAATAGAGACACAGACATAGAGAACAAATGTATGGATACCAGGGGGAAGGGGGGGATGAACTGGGAGATTGGGATTGACATATATACGCTACCACGTATAAAATAGATAATTAATGAGAACCTGCTTGGTGCTCTGTGGTGACCTAAATGGGAAGGAAATCCAAAAAAGAGAGCATATATGTATACATATGGCTGATTCACTTTGCTGCACAGCAGAAACTGACACAGCAGTGTAAAGCAACTATACTCCAATAAAAAAATAAACTAAATAAACATATCTAGGTACTGAGTGGGGAAAAGAAAGAATCTTGTGGTTACAAATGACAGAAACCTTCACTTAAACTGACTTAAAAAGTATAAAAAGGGCTTCCCTGGTGGCGCAGTGGTTGAGAGTCCGCCTGCCGATGCGGGGGACACGGGTTCGTGCCCCATACCGGAGGGATCCCACGGGCCACGCAGCGGCTGGGCCCGTGAGCCATGGCCGCTGAGCCTGCGCATCCAGAGCCTGTGCTCCACAGCGGGGGAGGCCGCAGCGGTGAGGGGCCCGCGTACCGCAAAAAAAAAAAAAAAAAAAGGTTATATTAAAACAAAAGAAAAAAAAAGAAGAAGAGTTTGGGGAAGGCAATCTAATGGGAAAGAGGAAAAATAGGAGACTCGTCCCGATCTGTTTTTAGAGACTTTAAACTAGGTGGAAGAGTGGGGCCAAGGGGGGAAGCGCTGACGGAGCACCATCCGCCCAACCATTCACGCTTGGCCAACGACACTCCTGGAACAAAATAAGTACTTTGGGGTGAACTGGATGGAATTCAATTACCTGTGTATTTACATAAAATGCAGTTATCTGCTCGTACTTTGGTCTATTCATGAGCAATTTTTATTTATGTTTATTTTTGGCCACACCACACGGCTTGCAGGATCTTAGTTCCCCGACCAGATTGAACCCGGGCCACAGCAGTGAAAGCGCCGGGTCCTAACCACTGGACCAGGGAATTCCCCCATGAGAACTTTTTAGATTAAAGATTTATGATTTTAAAAATGTCATGATTATCTACTTGCTATAATGTTCACCTCTTCTTTCTAACAACATTACCCATTAGCATGGACAGTAGCAGTGGACAGAGATGCCTGATTCCAGGAATGTACAGCAGAAGAGAAAGTGACTTCTCTTAGAGCCAGGGTTTTGAGGGAGATGAGAACAGGTAGGAACAAGGTCACTTGGGAATAACGAATGATGATGCTGGGAGCTAGGAAAGACAGAGGAAGGTGAAATAGCCAGTTTCTGAATAAGATACTTTACTTGAAGGAGGTGCACCTGAGAAGACTTCTTAAAGAATTTTATTAAAGAAGGGCATATTTACCCACAGGCAAGTTCTCTGCTCAATAATTTATCAGGGCTCTGGCTCTGTGAACTGTTACTGTCACTTTGAACCATGTCAGTGTTGTGCAGAGAGTCATATTAAAAAAAAAAAAAAACAATAAATGGAGAAAAAGCAAAACTGAGATCTGGCCATGTTGCCAGATGTAGGAAAAAAAACTTGTTGACGTTGAAAGAATATGATGAAAACAACTGACAGACTTTATGGTGATGGATTCCTAATAATCGGACACTCCTTGTAAGTAATTCTGATTTGCTTATTGGATGAATTAGGTTTTCTCTAGTGCTTCAAGAAAATAATAGTTGTTTTCAATAAATAGCTATTCTGAGAAAAATTTAAAGACACATAAGCCAAAATGTTTTTCAAGTAGATAGAGAAAAAAGGTATAATGTATCTGATGATGGTATCAGATGGTTTTGTTTTGTTTTGTTTTTAGAACTGTATTTATTTCCCAGTCACTCCTACTCCTTCACCCTGAGTGGCTGCATTACTTCAAGGCAGGGGTCTCTGGCTTCATGGAGAAGAAAATGAGTTCTCATTTCAGACTTCCTATGCTGAAAGGTGGTCCAGCAGGGCTGAGGGAGCTCGGGAAGGTTCTGGACTCAGGGCAGGCAGGCACGCGGCAGGGACCCTGCCCTGTGGGATCTGCCTGGCTTCTCTGACAGAGAAGCAGAACTGCTGGCATCACCCACCTGACTCCCTGCATGCATTCCAGAGCTGGAAATGAGCTCATCAGAGCGAAAGGAACTTATGAGCGCCATAATTTGGGCCTGAGGTATCTGCATCTTCTCAGAGCAGAACATATGAGAAAAAGCTAATATTCATGAATCCATTCTATCTTGACATCACCATTTGCTTTGGCTAACGGTCTACATGTGCGACCTTTCCCACCCACCGTGTACCCTCTCAACAGTTCAGTATACCTGAAGGACTTCATTTTTACTTGTTGTTCACCATCTTCCATTCTACAAAAAAGCAGGATAAAATATCAAACTACATGAAACAGATTTTCGGTAATTCTTGAGAAATAAATGTGGGATTAAGTCCAATCATCCTAATTCCTATTAAGTCTTTAGTTATACATGCTACCCTGAGCTCCTAATTGAAACAATTATTACTGTCTGCATGGGCTGCTCTCCTACTAAAGCTGACAGGTGCCTCATCCCCATCAGGTAACAAAACTATGTGAACTGACAATGAATAATAATTACTGCTCTATTTAGAAATTATCCCATGCCAATCTTGAAAAGGAATATAATGTTCATAGAAATAACATTAAATAAAATAGCTATTTTTAAAACATTGATGGATTAGCCAAAAATTTTATAATAGCTCTATTAAAATAGCCTGAAAATACATTAAGAATCTCAGATCTTTAATCAAAAGGAATTCATTTTACCTGAAAATTCATCTAGATGGTAAGAAATATTTTTAAAAACTGGAAACCGATCACTTGCCAATAATATTAATTTTCACATTAGTATATGCCTTAGCAGAATATACTAAATGTATATATATGTGTGTATAAATATTTATATATACATATACATACATACATGTGCTATATGGGTCTGTGTTTATTCATTCAGAAATGTAGTCGCCAGACCACTACCAAAGTGAAATATACTGATGATGATAGAATACTTTCCACATTAAAAAACTATGCAGACGGAATAGGTTTTTTTAAATATGTATTTTTAAAAATACATTCCCAAATGTATCATTTTTTGAAAGGGCATTTTAAAAATTCAGGGCAAAGCACCCATAATCTCATCTGGAAATAATCAGTCAATATTTCAATGGGTCTCCCTCCAATCTCTTTCCTAGACATGTATCTAGATACATACAAAAAATAGCTTTGACTATTTTACTTAGCTATGGGGTTGGTGGTGGGGCATGCGAGGATATTTATGTAGATGTGTGTTTTATATATATATGTATATATATATAAAATAAACAAAATTCAGATCATAGTGTAAAATTTTTCATGTCTTGCCTTATTCATTTAACGCTGTAACATAAATATTTTCCCATAGCTTCAAATATTCTTGGAGAATATGATTTGTAGTGATTAAATAGTGGCCCATTGGTTAGCTACACTATAGTTTATTTAATAATTTTCTATTATTAGATATCTCAATATTCTAATTTTTCAATATTATAAATAGTATGACTAATACTATTGTGGTACATGCATCTTTGATGATTCTCCTAGGATTAAACCCTTAGACATACAATTTATGGATAACTATTTTAAGGCTTCTGACTCATCTTGCCAAATTTCCCTCTTAGAAGACTCAACAATCATCATTTTCCAGGCTTTGAAAAAAGTTTGACCTACCTTTGAACTATTTTATTCATGTGATGTATTTTATTTGAGGTTTCAAGAATATTTTTTGCTTACAAAAGATAAATATATGCTGTTTATAGAAAAGTTAATAAAATTTATGAACAGATGCATATAAATATTCCAAATAAAAAAGGACCACTAAGATAAAACCTTAATCAAAGGATGCTTTTCCTTATTACTGTCTAAATAAATAGCTTTGATGATAGTTTATCAAAAATATTTTCACATGTGTTATTTCATTCTCACAGCATTTAAGAATCATGTAGTTATTACTATCCCCGATTTTACAGATGAAGGAATTGAGGCCCAGTATGGGTAATGACTGCTCAAGGTCACAGACCTAACAGGAGGCCAGTAAAACTTATTCTGTGCTGGCTGGTGTACCTTCCTCTATGCCTTGATCATTGTCAGCCTGCTCTGTGGTGTAAAATTAAACAGCTTCTTTGAAGCAAAAGAGAGGGTTAGATTAAGTCAGCTCCTTTTTTTCCCCTCTTTTCTGCCTGACTTCATATTTATGGACTAAAACAGAAAATAATTATATAGATGAATGATTTTCTTCCTAATGGTCTGGAATTATATATACATATACATTACTTCAATCTCAAAAGGTAAAGTTTGGCTGTTTTAAATCATGCTTTTGCTTTGATTATACGTGTTTTAGCAAATTAACTCACTGACTGAACTTGCCTCCTTGGTGAAATCCAAACCTACTGTACTTAGGAAATCCAAATACACTTTTATTTAATGGTCCCTTGCGGAATAGAATAAAGGCACGACGTTGTTAGTCATATAATTCATTTCTTTGTTTGCAGCATGCACCTAGATAATTAGTAAATTTGTTCTTTGTATTTTTCTCCATGCTGGCATTTGGTCTACAGTCATAATATTTTATTTATGAATTTTAATAAGCTCTCTGATATTAATAACATTCACATTACTTAGATGCATTTTCTTAGTGTAGCATCTTATATTACAGTAACATAATTTTTTCAAAACACAGTGCAAGCTTTCCTTGAAAACTACTTTCACTGCATTTTGAATCCCTAAATCAACGAAACACAAACAAAATTGGAAGCAAATACGGTCAAAACAGCCTCCAGATTTTCTGCTTTCTTTTTTTTCTTTCTTTCTTTTTTTTGGTGGTATGTGGACCTCTCACTGTTGTGGCCTCTCCCGTTGCGGAGCACAGGCTCCGGACGCACAGGCTCAGCAGCCATGGCTCACGGGCCCAGCCGCTCCACGGCATATGGGATCTTCCTGGACCAGGGCACGAACCCGTGTCCCCCGCATCGGCAGGCGGACTCTCAACCACTGTGCCACCAGGGAAGCCCCAGATTTGCTGCTTTCTATGCCTTTCTCTTTTGAAAATTTTCTTCCTTCGGTTTCTGAGATGTCGCTCCCACTTCAGAGCCTTGTCTCCTCACCTTCTGGGTAGGCGTCCCCTCTTCTCTGAGCCCCCCAGTCTTCCCACTCCATACATGCATCCATGCCAGTCCACTTGCTCTCTGTACATTAATGGTGTCTGAATCTCCATCTCCGGGCCAGGCCTCAACCCTGAGTTCCAGACCTTCATATCCATCCACCTACTTGGAAGATCCCATAAACATCACACTCTCATTGTGGCCAAAACTGAACTCATCATCTTTCCCTCAGCCTCTGTGAACGAAAATACCATCCTCCATCTAGGTGTCCAAGTCAGAAAACCTGGATGCTTCTTACATTTCCGCTCTCCCCCATGAACAAGCACGAAATCTTAGAGATTCTAACTTCTAAATGTGCCATAATGTGTCCCTCCCTTTCCATGCCCTTCCTGCCTAGGGCCACTCTCTTGGACCAATGCTCAGAAAAACCTATACCCTAGCAAACATCTCTCAGCTGTTTTCTCTGCCTGCTGGATTTTCCTCCTTCAGCCCATCCTCCATGCTGTTTCCAGAGTGATCCTTTGAAAATATAAATCTGTACCACTTCACACTTACTAGGACAACTTTTTTTTTAATGGAAAATAACAAATGCCAGCAAGAAAATGGAGAAATTGAATCCCTCACACATTTCTGGTGGGAATGTAAAATGGTGCAGGCACTGTGGAAACCAGTTTGGTGGTTCCTCAAAAACCAAACATAGAATTACCATCTGAGGGGCTTCCCTGGTGGCTCAGTGGTTAAGAACTCGCCTGCCAATGCAGGAGGCATGGGTTCGAGTCCTGGTCCGGGAAGATCCCACATGCTACGGAGCACCTAAGCCCGTGCTCTACAACTACTGAGCCTGTGCTCTAGAGCCTGCGAGCCACAACTACTGAGCCCGCATGCCACAGCTACTGAAACCCGTGTGCCTAGAGCCCACGCTCCACAACAAGAGAAGGCACCGCAATGAGAAGCCTGCGCACCGCAACGAAGAGTAGCCCCCGCTTGCTGCAACTAGAGAAAGCCCACACACAAGCAACAAAGACCCAATGCAACCATAAATAAATAATTAATTAATTTTAAAAACTGATGAATCTCCAAAAAAAAGAAAAAAGAATTACCATCTGACCCAGCAATTTTACTCATAGGTATATACCCAAAAGAATCGAAAGCAGGGACTCAGATACTTGTACACCAATGTTCATAGCAGCATTATTCACAATAGCCAAAGGGTGGGCACAACCCAAATATCCACCAAAAAATGAATGGTTAAGCAAAATGTGGTATATACATACAATGGAATATTATTTAGCTGTAAAAAAGAATGACATCCTAATACATGCTACAACGTAGGTGAAATTTGAAAACATTACACTAAGTGAAATAAGCCAGAGACAAAAGGACAAATATTGTATGATTCCAATTATGTGAAGTGTCTAGAACAGGCAAATTCTTAGAGCTAGAAAGTAGGCTAGAGTTTACCAGGGGCTGGGGGAAAAGGGGGTATGGAGAACTACTATTTAGTGGGTACCGTGTTTCTGAGTGGGGTGATGAAAAAGTTTCAGAAACAGTGGTGATGGTTGTACACACCATGAGTGTAATTAATGCCACTTAATTGTACACTTAAAAGTGGTTAAAACAGCAAATTTTATGTTACATATATTTTACTACAATAAAACGTTTTTTTAAAAAGTGCAAAGGCAAGCAAAGTTTTTAAAACGTAATCTGATCAAGCTCTTCTCATGCTTAAAATCCTTCCATTTTCCTTATTGCATTCAAGACACTTTTCAGATTCTTTAGCAAAGACACTTTTCAGACGCTTTAGTTCAGCAGAGGTTCATGACCTAGTCCATGTTTACCCCTCAAGTCTCATAGCCCACCCACCTCACCTCCTGGTGTGCCCTCTGCTCTACTGTGACAACCACTTGTTTCCTGATCAGCAGTGTGCTGCTTCATACTCTGTGCTTCTGCACAGCTGTTCCTTCTGCCTGAAGTACCTTCTCTACTCCTGCTCTGAACGGCTCATTTCCATTCTTCATTCAAAACTTAGCTTAAGTCAACACCTCCAGGAAGCTGTCCTTCACTCTGATCCCAATATTATGTAAATACCCAACTTTCCTTGTTGCCATAATACCTAGGGTCCCCCTTATGGAAGCTATCATGATGGGCAATAACTATTTGTATCTTTCCCATTTGTACAAGTTTCTTGTATCTTATCTGTGTGTCTCCCTCCTGGTCTACTGGGTATCATATAGCAGGTACTCAGTAAATGTTAATGACTACATTCCAGGGAATCTTCATCAATGACCCTTTTAAAGAACCAGCTCTCCACTCAAACCCACAGTGCTGCAGAAAGGGTGAACCATCTCACATATTCTTCTTTGTTTAAATATATCCAACACTTGGAGGCTCCACCAATGAAATCAACTTCATGCCCCGAGTCTCTGGGAAGGATGCTATACAGTCAGTACTTCGTAAAATCCATAAAGTACTTTGACATCCCTCATTTCATTAGAGAGAATGGAAAATGGTGGGATGAAAGAAGGATTGGGGCAGAATGGAGACGCTCTGGGATAGATAATGGGCAAATCAGTGGGGTGTACGCTCTCTTTATGCTGCTACTCTAGGCCGTCTTCAAGCAGGAATTATGTCAAATGATAGTCCAGGGCTTACCTGCTGCCACTGGATGCTGATATTTCTACCCTTGTTGAAAGGAGATAGGAAAAGGGATTCTGAGAAAGTTTTTCCACCACTTTTTCTTTCATGATTCCTGACCTGGAAGGAGGGAGGCCTTGGGTCACCCCTACCAGACATGCTGGAAAATGGACAGCATGGTTGTTCTCATGTGCTAGAAGCACCCTCCCCTCCAGTTGCAGAGAAACAGGAACCAGGGTGTAATGAGGAAACTACCACACTGACAATCAGGCATTCCAGCTAGCTGGATAATGATGGGCAAGGCACTTGATATTTCTGAGTTCCAGCTGCTTCATTTTCTAAAATGCGGGTAATTGACTAAATAATCTCTAGTGTTGCCTTCTGCCAAAAAAAAATCATTATCTGTCATTACTTTGCATGTTTCTAGTATTTCCCGTGTCACTGCCCTCATTTTCCCATTCACTCTCAAAACCACTATAAGGTCTCAACCATGCCCCTACGTCGCTTAAAATCATGTGACTCTAGTTCTCACTTGAAAGCCACATTCTTATTCAGATATTAAGAAAGAACAACGGTGCTTATGGTTCTAAAGAAAATAAAAAAGGACTGACAGTCACTTCTAGCTCGAGGTGAATGGGGACTAACCAACTGATAACCTAGGATGTAGCACAGCAAACAGTTCTAGATAGACTGTCACTTGATCAACTAGTTATTTACAATCATCCACATTATTGGAAGAGACTAAGAGAATACAGACAACCAAAAGCAGCAGATAATCTTCAAGTCATTTATATGTGTCTTGGGAAGTGTGCTGGTACTTATATTTGAATGACACTGAATCTGCTGTCTTGGAAACTGAAGCTAAAGTATATAAAGTGTCCTTCGAAGAACTGAGTTATAAAGAGCTATGATGTTTCATTACATCCTCATCCTGTCCCCCACTCAGGATTTTTCCCTTCGTTCATGATTTACATAAAGTACCAGCCTAAAATGAATTGCTCTACATTGCTATATTTACTGTGCCCTATTACTTCCACCAGATCAACCCCAGCCTTGGGGAGGTCATTAAAGAATATTTGGGACTGCAAGCTGCATTAGGCAATAAAAACGAATCAGGAGATAGTAAGTATTCTCAACATTGATTGTATAATCTACTTGGCTTACTAAACAGGGAAAACGAGAGTTTTATTTGATTAAAGTCGCCACAGATAACCAAGGGTTGCTTGTTACACGAATGATGAGTAAGGAAAGAAGCAAGTGGTGATTATTATTGTAAGCCAAACATGCAAGAAGATGTTCTCCTCAGAGTCAAGTATTTCAATTAGGAAGGCAAATATCTTCCTGTGACCATAAATGTTAAGCAAATTAACCTCCAGTTGACCTTCCTGGATACCTAATAACCTTCAGAGTTGGATCAGTCAATGACAGAGGGGGCAGCTGGGTGGATAAATAATTGACCCTATCCAAATTTTTAATTACCATGTAATTAAAAATAATGATTTAAAAAGTAGTCTTTTTCTAAAGAAGATGTGGTATATACATACAACAGAATATTACTCAGCTGTAAAAAACAATGAAATGATGCCTTGTGCAGCTACATGGATGGACCTACAGATTATCATACTAAGCGAAGTAAGTCAGGAAGAGAAAGATACCATAGGATATCACTTACATATGGAATCTAAAATATGACACAAATGAACTTATCTATGAAACAGAAACAGACTCACAGCCATTGAGAACAGACTTGTGGTTGCCAAGGAGGGGGAGGGGGAGGGTTGGATTGGGAGTTCGGGACTAGCAGATGCAAACTATTACATATAGAATGGATAAACAACAAGGTCCTACCGTATAGCACAGGGAACTATATTCAATATCCTGTGATAAACCATAATAGAAAAGAATATGAAAAAGAATATGTATGTATATGTATAACTGAATCACTTTGCTGTACAGCAGAAACTAACAACACTGTAAATCAACTATACTTCAATAAAAAAATAAATAAATAGAAACTAAAGGTTTTAATTTGTTTTTAAAAGAAAAAAAAAGTAATATTTTTCTTTCTTCCCTGGAGTCGAAGATTTCCTGGGGTTAGAGGAACAAATTCACTTACTGGGATGGGTCTGAATCACTCCCTTTTCGTTTTCTTGGAAACTCTGTCACATGTGGGCTGAAGGATCCAATAGTTGCTGGTTTTGTCCATGGGCTCAGATGACTGGAAACCATGGCAGCAATGCACTGGTTCCCTTGGATCAACACTTTACCTATGAGACATAAAGCACAGTAAGGCATCTTTTGAAACACTGACTTTTACTTTATACATATCCATATCCCACATTTTAAATGGCTTTTTACTTTGATATTTTAAAATGTCAACTAAACAGCAACATAACATAGAATGAAAGACTAATCATGTACACCCAAATATTAGTTAGAAATGTATTGTTAGTCTATATTTTTAAGTTTACTTTCCCTATCTAATTGGAAAAAAATATATGGATATTGTAGGAAATATGGAAAACACAAAAGAGTAGAAAGGAAGGGGGAGAACCAAATCTCACCAACTAATATTACTATTTAGAATTACTTCCTTGTAGAAATTTTTCTACAGTTGTTATTATAGTAATTGAAGTCATAGTGTATACTCTGCATTATTTGCATATCATTGTGATAATAACTTTACAGTGTTATTACAAATTCTTTACAAATGATTCTAATGGCTGCATAATATACCATCGTGTAGCTGTGTCATAGCTACTTAACCACTCTTCTATTGTTGGAATGTATATTTGGTTTTTTTTCACTATCATAAATATGTATGGTGCTTTCATCTATGCGTATAAAACTTTTTATCTACCAGTTATTTCTTTTCATCTTCTAGCTATTATTATTATTTTGGGGGGATAGCATCCCAGAAATGAGTTAACAAGGTTAAGGGACATGAATATTTTTAACCCTGAATTGCTAAATATGATAGTAAAATCTTTTTGGTCTAAACTGTAGTTTACTAAATGTTTTATAAAATGTAAAAATCAGAATCACTGAACTAAAAATAACTTATAGTCTAAATGTAGGCCTCTCTGAATATATTTCTCATATTAAAATTGACCTAACAAGTTTAAACTCATTTGCATCTTATAACATAGACTGAAATATATAAGCAATATTTACAAGGAGAATGCAATACATCTTACAGTAAGAGTGGGAGCTTTTTAACACATCTCTAGCAGTAACTGATAGAGTGAGCATTCAAAAATAATGATACAAGAAATCTGATCCACACAACAGACAAGCTTGATATGATAGACATATACAGACCACTATACCTAGCAGCTTCAAAATCCAGTGTTGTTTGTTTTGAGGTACCCGTGGGGCATTTATACTGGACCAAAAAGACTGATATTATACATGAAACATTTTCTGACTACAATGTAATTATGCTAGACACCATAAAAAGACTGAAATTTAATGAGCTAATTATTTTATGAAATTAGGAAAAGAAGACTAAAATAAATCTAAAGAATTAGGAGAAAGGAAATCATTAAAATAATACCAGAAATAATGAAATAGAATACAAATTAGTACAGATCAAAAAAGCTAAACATAGGTTCCTCCAAAACACTGGAAACTCTAATAATCTTATGGCAAGATTTTTCCAAAAAACGGAAAGAGGGAATAAATGAATAAAGATAGGAATGAAGATGGGGTCATAATTTTAGATGCTCTAGAGATATAAAAGATAAATTCTCATGAATTTAGAAAAACGTTATTCTAAAAATTTGAAAATTTAGATGAAATGGAAAAATTCGTAGGGAATTTTTTTAAATTGAGGTATAGTCGATTCACAATATGTAATTGTGACACACTAATCGTGTTAGTTTCAGGTGTACAGCAAAGCGATTCGATTGTACATATATATAATATATGTACTTTTTCAGGTTCTTCTCCATTAGAGGTTATTACAAGATATTGAATATAGTTCTCTCTGCTATACAGTAAATCCTTGTTGTTTATCTATTTTATATATAGAAGTGAGTATCTGTTAATCCCATACTCCTAATTTATCCCTCCTCCCACTTTGTCTTTGGTAACTATAAGTTTCTTTTCTATGTCTGTGAGTCTGTTTTGTAAATAAATTTATTTGTATTACTTTTAAGATTCTACATATAAATATATCATATTTGTCCCTAGAGAATTTTAACTGACAGAAAACAAAGCAAAGAGAAATAAAAACCTGCACATTCCTATATTCTTTCTTACATATACTATACCAATATACAGTAAACTCAACTCTTTTTATGAGGCTTATAGAAATTTGATATTAAAATTCAACAATGGCAATATAAGAAAGGATAACTATAGGCCCATCTCATCCATGAACAAAGATACAAAAATCTTAACAAAATATTAGCAAACAAAATTCAGAAATGTATAAAGAGAATAACCCATCATGACCAAGACAGCTTTGTCCCAGGAACACAAGACTTGTTTAATATTAGTAAATTAATGAATATAATTTACCACAGTAGCAGCTTAGTGAAAAAATATGATTATCCTAATAGATAAAGAAATATTGACGAAGAAACACTGAAAGAATTCTTTTTACAATCAGAAACAAGATCTTTTATCAGTACCCCTTTCAACACTGTATTAGAAGAACTGCTGGTAGAATAAGGCAAGAAAACAATATATGAAGTATAAGAATTGGAAAGGAAGAAAAAAAATTTGTCATTATTGGGAAATGACATGATTGAGAATACAAAAAACACAAAATAATCAACGTATAAATTATTAAAACTAGGGAGTGTATCGAGGTTGGCTGTTTGTAAAGTCAATATATAAAAATCAACTGCTTTTCTAATCACCAGTAACAAACTATAAGAAAATGATATTTTAAAAAACATAATTTATAATAACTTCAAAAAATATATAGTACCTAAAGGATAAATGTATTTAGAATAAATGTATAACCTAATAAAAGTATACAAGGTCTCTCTGGAGAAAATTATAAAAATTTATTTAAAATATTGAAAAAGATTCAAATAAATGGAAACATACACCATGCTTATGGACTGGAGGTCTCAATATCAAAGATTCCAATTCTCCTAAAATAGATGTGTAATTCCTCTCAAAATATTCTTTTTGGGTGGGACTTCACAAGCTGAATATAAAATGCACATGGAAGTGCCATGAGTTATGAACGGTCAAGGGAAATGTGGGAGAACTGGACCTCTCATATATCAAGACATTATAAAGCTATGGCAATTAAGACAGTGTGGTATTGGCGCAGGGAGAGACCAAAGGAAAAGAACGGAGAGCCCAGACATGTAAATACGGATATCTGCTAAATGTCAGAGATGGAATTTTCAGATCAATGTGAGGAGACCAGCTTTCTAATAAACAGTCCTGGGCCAACTGATTTTCTCTATGATAAAGAATAAAAACAGATCCCCTACTACTATATGCCAAATATAAAAACCAAACCAAATATAAACATTCAATCCAACTGGATTGAAGGCCTAAATGTAAAAGGCCAAAATAAACAGAGAATACTCTGAAGGAGAAAGAATATCTTTGTTATTGGCGTAGAAAGAATTTCCCAAAACAAAAACTAAAAACAATAAAGGAAAAGACTGATCAATTCAATCTTCTTAAAATTAAGTTAACGTTGATCAAAAGACACTATAAAGAGAATAAAACCGCAAGTCACAGACTGGGAGATGTTTGTTACACACATAAACAATAAAGTGTTACCATGTAGACTGTATAAAGAATGCCTTTGCATCATTAAGAAAAAGACCAACACAAAAACCCAGCAGAAAACTGGATAAAAGACTTTAATGGGCACTTCATAAAAGAAATTCTAATTGTCAGTACAAAAATGAAAAGATACTCAATCTCATTAGTAATCAGGAAAACCCAAAGTAAACTATAGTGATAGACTATATACCCCTCTAATGGCTACAAATGAAAAGTTTGATGAGACCAAGTGTAAATGAGAAAACAGAGCAATGGAAAGAGAAACGGAACACTCATGCTCTGTTGGTGGGAAAGTACATCGCTACAACACTTTGGAAACCTTTTTTGCATTACTTAATAAGGTAGAACACATGCAAATAATATGGTTTAGCATTTCACTTCTAAGTACATGGAAAACTCTTAATATATCTAAAGAGATACGTACAAGAAATACATTCACAGCATTGCTTGCAGTTGAACAACAAAAAATGAGAACTGGAAACTATAATTTCCATCAACAGACGGATAAATTGTTTATTCATTGAATGGAATACCAAGAATAGTAAAAATGAATAAAGTACTCATATACTTTATATATATATATATATAAATATATATAAATATACATAAATATATACATTTTGGATGAATCTCAAAATAATGATGTTAGGTTAAAAAAAAAAGTCACAGACAAAACAGTAGCATGTTTTTTAAAAAACTGTATAAAGTTCAAAAGCAGGTAAAACTAATATGCATTTACTGATATCTACATAGGTTACCTCACTATATAGAAAAGAAAGGGAACAGCTAACACAGAAGTTAGAATTCTCTTTGGGAGAAGAAAGGGGGGTGCGATCAGTGAGGGATATACAGGTACCTCTTTTTTTTTTTTTTGCCTTTGCTCTGTTGAGGTAGGTTCCCTCTATTACCACTTTCTGGAGAGTTTTTATCATAAATGGGTGTCGAATTTTGTCAAAAGCTTTTTCTGCATCTATTGAGATGATCGTATGGTTTTTATTATTCAATTTGTTAATATGGTGTATCACCTTGATTGATTTGCATATATTGAAGAATCCTTGCATCCCTGGGATAAATCCCACTTGATCATGGTGCATGATCCTTTTAATGTGCTGTCAGATTCTGTTTGCTAGTATTTTGTTGAGGATTTTTGCATTTATATTCATCAGTGATATTGGTCTGTAATTTTCTTTTTTTGTAGTATCTTTGTCTGGTCTTGGTATCAGGGTGATGGTGGCCTCAAACAATGAATTTGGGAGTGTTCCTTCCTCTGCAATTTTTGGGAAGAGTTTGAGAAGGATGGGTGTTAGCTGTTCTCTAAATGTTTGATAGAATTCACCTGTGAAGCCATCTGGTCCTGAACTTTTGTTTGTTGGAAGATTTTTAATCACAGTTGTAATTTCATTACTTGTGATTGGTCTGTTCATATTTTCTATTTCTTCCTGGTTCAGTCTTGGAAGGTTATACCTTTCTAAGAATTTGTCCATTTCTTCCAGGTTGTCC